CACTCGTAGGGAGTGAAGTTATCGAGATTGTTAATCACTGTGATTTATAGCTTGTATTATAAAAGTTTTTAAGTTTAAAGTGACAAGAAACGTACTGACTGTGGAATTACTGTGTACTAAAAGTAACAATATGTTTCACTTGTTTTAATACATTATTTTGAAAGAAGTGGACTGTGTGCTGTTTGTTTATCGTTGAAATTTATCGCCAACAAGTCACAGACACCTACTGGGAAGAATGGCGTCCCTATAAAACCTGATAGTGGCGAGCCAGCCAGGATTATATGGTGGTAAATGATGGTAGAAGAAGACGTGAACGACAGCGGAAGTAAGCCAATATAATGTACAGCTGATAGTGGTGACAAAAATATTGTAGATTACAACCACACTATATAACCATGTCGACTGATCTTGATATGTGGATAGAGAATTGTGAGCAACTTTGGCTCAAAGAGAAGTACCCAAAAATGACAATGGAGTCAGGACAACACGACCTAATCTACCCAAATTTGATGAACATAAAGACGACATGGGTGCTTTCCTGGAGAGATGTAAAATATTCACCCAAAGCTAGAACCGGGACAAAGGTGACTGGGCAGTTTGTCTCGGTCCACTTCTCACAGTAAAAAGGCCTGCATATGTATGAAGGTATGACATCAGAGATTCCATGGACTATGACAAGTTAAAAGTGGCGTTGCTGAAATACCATAAACTTACTAAGGAAGATTTTCAATGGAAATTTAGAGAAGTCAAATCTGACACTGGAGAAACTGTATTTCAGTTTGTGGCATATTTACAGCTATACCTCACACGATGTACTGACATGGCCAAGTGTGAAAATAGTTTTGAAGGACTGGCAGATCCACTAATATGTGAACAGTTCATGATCATGTGCTCAACTGACACGTCACTGTTCCTAAAAGAGAAAGCACCAAAAGAAATGAACGAGATTATCAAGCTGGCAGAACAGTACATGGAAGCCCATGGAGGTAGTAAAACTGGCAAGTCCAAGAATAAGCAGTTAAAGTCGAAACAAGGGGTAACTGACCAGAAGCAGAATGCCAACACATGTGACAAAATGTTAATAGACAAAAGGGAGAAGAGATGCTTTGCGTTTTATAAAATATGGCACATTGCAAATGAGTGCAAATCTGTCACAAGCAAATAGTCACAGGGAAATAAAACATAAAGCAGCTGGAGCTACCTGCAGAGATAGTCCTGGCAAGAAACAAGAAAAGAATGACTGTCACCATAGGTGCCACTGCCAGAAGAAACAAAATGGGGACAACTTCTCAGAATCACCACAAGAAGGAAGTGCTATCACCATGATTACACAGTGCATGATTGATGGTCAGCTCAAGTTAACAAATGGATCAACAGCGTCAGTAGTGATTGGAGCATGTGACAAACATTGAGAGGTGCCAACAAATCACAACATGCCAGCAGGTGAAGGCTATCTTGGGGACAAGAAAGTAAAAGTTCGGTGCAGCAGTACAGCAATGAGAACAAGTCTAGTATCTAATGACCAGATGACAGGCAAGATACATCTGTGTGTGCTGATTGATGGGACAGTGAGAAAGTGTGCCATAGCAAGAATAAAGATAAACAATCCATACTATATTGGAGACCATTGAGGCTATGTGAATGAAGGCCCCCATCTACGACTTGGTGATTGACAATATACCAGGCAGTAGAAATTTGGAGGAGCATGATGAGTCATCTTCAGTCACTATAAGAGCTCAAGAGAAGAAAAGCAAGCAATACATCAAAGCCCTTTCAAGTCTCGAAAAGTAACATCCCGAATGTAGGTCTATGAGGAAACACAGAAGAAAGACCCTTAACTGCAGAAACTTTGGGACAGAGTGGAGAATACCATACTCAAGTGATGAAACTGACTCATGAATCGATTGGGGAGGACACGTAGGAGCAAAGAAGATGGCAGACAGAATCCATAACAACTTCCATTGGCTGGGGGTCATCAGAGATGTGACATCTGCCAAAGGACAATACCTAGAGGAAAGGTAGCCAAGGAGCCACTGATTGAGATGCCTCTCACAGAAGAGCCCTCCAGCAGAGTAGATGTGGACTTGATCAGACCACTAACACCTGTATCTGACAAGGGCAACTGGTATACATGCTGACGGTAGTCGACTATGCAACACATTACCCAGAAGCCGTAGCATTGCCGAAGATAGAGACAGAAAGAGTAGCAGAATTCCTCCTGGAATATTCTGCACATTAGGCTTCCTCAAAAAAGTCTTGAGTGACAGAGGGACCAAGTTTACCTCAGAGCTGTGCAGACTCATCAGCACTAAGCAACCCTTTACCACCCTGTACAGCCCCAGATGTAATGGACTTTGTGAGAGTGTCAATGGAGTCTTAAAACGTATGCTGAAGAAGATTTCTCAAAAGAGATCACATGACTGGGACAAGTACCTGCAGACAGTATCATTTGCTTACCGAGAAGGCCCGTAGGCAAGCACAAGATTTTCACCCTTCAAGTTGCTGTAGAGAAGAACAGTACAAGATCTGATATAAATATTGAAAGACTTGCGGACTGGAGAAGAAAATTGTTTGTTTTGTTTTGTAATTAAGCACAAAGCTACATATGGGCTATCTGTGCTCTGCCTACCACGGGTATCGAAACCCGGATTCTAACGTTGTAAGTCTGCAGACATACCGCTGTGCCACTAGGGGGCAGAGAAGAAGAGTCAAAAGTAAAGAATATATACCAGTACATGTTAGACCTGTTAACATGTTAATAGGTTAACTTGCTCGAGAGAGCTTGTATGTGGCTCAATGCAATCAGAAGCACTTCTATAACAAGAAGGCCAAGGACTGGCGTTTCAAGAAGAGCAGAAGATCTTGGTTCTGCAGCCTATAGATAACAACAAACTCACCCTACAGTGGAAAGAACTTTATGAGGTGCAGGAAGTGGTCAACTGAATAGACTATAAGGTGAAAGTGAATGGGAAAACAAATATCTACTATGCCAATGTGTTGAAGAGGTACTTTGAGAGGAAACAATGCCTAAAGGATGCTGCTGTTGTGGCACAGATGGACATGACAGGTGTAGCTGTCATAGATGCAGAATGAGAAGACAGTGACTTTGTCATAGAAGATGAAGGTGTACTTGATCTAAGACTGGTGGGTGGAGATGAAACGTACAAAGACATCAACATCAGTGAAGAGCTGACTGGCAAGCAGAACAAAGAGTTACAAGATCTACTGTGCCAGTATGCAGATATCATCACGCATAGACCAGACAAGACAGACTTTGTGCAACATAAAATCGATACCACGACCAAGGATCCAGTCAAAGTGAAGTCTTACCAGATGTCTTACATGATGAGAGACCTAATCAAGCAAAAATTCGAGGCAATGCTAGAAGCTGGAATCATTGAGCCTTCGAATTCAGCCTATTGTTCACCAGTGGTAACCTTGGGGAAGAGGGATGGCTCAAACTGCTTCTGCACACAGCTCTTGAAGCTAAACCTCGTAACGAAGTTCGACTCCAAATCTATAGGCAACCCAGAGGTTATTATGGTAAAACTAGACATGGCCAAATTCTTTACCAAGATCGACCTCAGTACAAGTTATTGGTAGATCCCGATGGAGGCAGAATCGAAAGAGAAGACAGCCTTTGTGACATCTATTCTTTGATTCGCTACTCCCTCTGCAATAGACTAGTTTCACTGAATTCACGACTAATCAGTATTGCTTGAAAGAGCAAATTTTTTTTTTCCTCTGTCATTTCATCCCAGCCCACAAAGCCGGTGGACCAGCAGAGGGTTATGATTTCTCTTCGGCCACATGGTAAACGTTCAGAGCATAGTGGCTATGGATAATTGATGAACAAATTCTAAAACTGAAAAGAAGGTTATGAAATGATACTCGTCAAGTGTTCAAAACTTTATCTATTCAGTTGTGAAGGTAAGTGAGATAAGAGAAAAGAAGCCGTGTTCAAACAAAATAAATATAAGGCAGCAGGTTTTTCATAAGGGAAGCATCATGTCCTGGATCATCCTCTGGAGGAGACATCTCACACATGTTGAAGAGATGTTAAGCTGGAGTCAGCAAATATGATTTTGTGAGTCAGGAAGCAACGTGTGGTATACTGATACAAAGCTTCTGAGAAGTCAGAACCTCTGTTGAAAGGAGGGGACGAATCTAACCTGTGTATTTGGCAATAGGTTGTTATTAAAAGCAATATATATATAGCACTTGAGGGGGGCTTTTTATAGAAATATATGATTAGAAATAACATATAAAAAGCTTTTTAAAGAGATATTTAAAAATAACATGTTTGGATCTTTTTTATAAAGTTTGGTTTCGCTGTTGTTGAGCAGAAAGTTATAAAACAAGCTATCTGTGTTCTGTATCAAAACCTGGGGTTTTATCGTCTTAAGCCTGCAGGCTTATTGCCGAGCCGTTAGGGGTCTTTTTATAGGGAGATGTGATTAGAAATAAAGTATAAAGAGCTGTGTTTAGAAATAGTATGTAAAGAACTCTCATTATGCAGAAGTGTCTCAAGAAATAACGTTCATGTTAAGAACATTTTTTAAAGATGTGATATAAATGACATGTTAAAAATTTTCTTATGAATAAATATAATTAGAAATGGTATTTTAAGAATAGATTGGGCCTCTAAGCCATTCATTTCGTTTTTACTGGAATTACACGATGTGATGAAGAAAAGAAAAAATTACAAATATATTCGAGATGTGTATCATATGCGGCTAATGAAGATATGTTAGTGTAAATTTGGATGTTCTATCTCATCCAAGTATATCTTTGTATACAAACTATTAATAAATATAATGAAAATTGGACCGTAATATCGTCAAGCAAGTTGCAATAGCGCCATCTATTGGCAAGTTGTCCAATAGCGTGTTATTTTTTTGTCGCGTAGATATACAAGCACCCTCAAGCAAGTAGGTGCGGCGCCTTTGACGAACAGCATGTGCTTGCAAGCAAAACAACACCGAATTGGCATTGTGGCGGCGTGGAGAGGTTTGGTCGCGTCGTTCATTTGGTGATGGCGACCAACTTGTCATCGGATAATCGGTAGAAATCAGTGTGAAAGATTTCAACGCAGTATACGAACGGCTTGACTTGCTGCAAAACAAGAAACAAGTCTACGGTTAAAACTTAAAGACAGACATGGGCGTGAATTCACATATTAAGTCATCGACCCTGTGCATGTTTTTAGGTAAGTGCCCTTGACATGAAGTGCGGGCTTTATACTGTGTCCTGCCTACCTTCTTTCCAAACAACACTGTTGAGACTAGTTGTTAGTTGTTATATCAAGTGTCATTATGTTCTTTACGCACTAACAATATTGTTGTTTTCGAATGTTTTGTGATTCTTTTCGTTTACAGTCAGGTTAGTAGATTTCAGCAGTAGGACGGCAAGTAGGCAGTGTGATGTTACTTGTTGAGACGGTGTGCTTTTTGCCTTAATAACTGTCGGTTCCCTATTGTCTTTGTCTTTGAAATTTTGCTTGACAAAGAAGGTTTTGGGAAATTAGGAAACGTATATTATTCAATACGTATTGGGACAAAACAGATTATACTACAAAAGTACAAGCTGTAAGATGACCTGTTTTGACTCCAACAGTAATTAAGTAATGTTATAATTTATATATTATGTCAAGGCCCCCCCCCCGAAGAAAAAAAATTAGGGGGGTCAAGTAACTCAAGTTTGAAAAAATTAAGAAATGTAAATACAAATACCGTATGATTTTCCAATAACATAGAAGAATAATTTTACATATCAAGTATATTGTTTTCTTTTTGAAAATCCCGGGGGGGTCAAGTGACCCCCTTTGCCCCTTCCTGCGGGCGCCCATGTATTATGTATATTATTATATTCCGGTAAATTATTATTATTTCTTTTGTGAGTTTTTAAGGGTTAACTCGTTTTAAGGTTGTATTTGCTTATAAATACAGTTTGGATTGAATAATCTAGCCTTATTCTACAGTCTACATTTATAATGTCTGTTTTTTGCTAGTTTTGTTAAAAACAACACGAACTTATTGTTGATTGTTTAGTTTTGCTTTAGGGGTAGATATATTTTTCTTTTTAAATAGAAGTTGATGTAAAACCGGTATAGACTGCGTTTATCTGATGAGCTACGTCGATTGATGGACCCTTTTGGGTTGGTTTTCGCTTGTTGTTAGCTCGATCACATATGCATGTGTTCTCGCTTCTTTCGCATTGTTGTTTCAGAAATTTCAGTACATTTCAAATGTCTACAAGAACATATTCATGTTTTTGTTGTTCCTTAGATAAACACCTGTACTACCATGATAATGGCTGGAGACGGATTGAATGGGTAACGAAGAAAAACTTTAATATAAGTTTAACATAACAACAAATGTACAACGTTTCGACAAGGTTTTGTCATCATCAGGTGCTACCATGTATGGCAGCGGACAACAATGTTCTTTTTAAATCGTGTAATTTAAAAAAAAATTTGTTTGTAATTGTAAGGAAGCAAATTTTTAATCTGCTCATACCTAAGCAAAGATAATGCTTTAGAAGTAGTATTAATTGGAAAGATTGTTTATTTTTTAGAACAAAGCGACACTAGGCCATCTGTTGTCTCCACCACAGGGAATTGAACCCCGGATTTAAGCGGTGTAACTTCATAGACTTGCCGCTGCCCCCACCGGGGGACTGTTTGGAAAGTAATCATTTTGATTAACGTACCAGCAAGTAGTTGTAGTTTTTTAATCTTAAAAATACCAGAAGTTTTCCTTCGAGCTGTATTGAAACAAGCAAAAACTAAATCAGAACAGTTGCTAGGCTCTGGAACACGGAGCCCAAGTCCCGATTCTGCTTGACAGTGCCCTGAATCCCCAGTTAGTGTTTTGAAAAATCAGAATAGAAAACCATGATTGATATCATACTGAAACGCCGAAAATTCCCCCAACTTATGGGCCCGAGCCTCGAATCGTTTAAACACCTAGCGACGCCTCTGAACTAATTGTAGTTTTACGTTATAAACCGTACAAAATGTTGTTATTAAACGATTATATGCTCATGAGATATTTTATACCTGGAAATATCATAGTTTTTAAATTATTAAGAAAAGGAAAACAAATCGTTCCGTGTTTTGAATTGTGATGTTTATTTATTTTGTACTGGGAGGAACAGAACTTTGAAAAGACGCAGATTGTGTGGTTTGTTGCTCAGCATAATAGGGAAAACAATTTACTTTCGAAATTTGAAGAATTCTATCATTTATATACAATCGCGTGATGCTTACGTGTTATCCACTTATGGAAGATATTTATGGAGGCATATTTTGAACTGCTGAAGTTGATTTATTGTTCTTTCAGACATTTTAAAATATTTGTGTTATTTATTACTAGTTGCGCTGAAACGTTGGTTCTACCCGATTTTTGAAGGTCTGGTAGAACAAAAACAAAAACGTGTTCACATCGATTTTTTTTCTCTTTTTTTTTGGGGGGGGGGGTAAATTTCATGTACGCTTACGTAATAAATGCAGAACAGTTATTTTCAATGGGATCAGAAAATATCGTATGTAGTACATATTTGATAACAGTTTAAAACAGAATATAACAATAATTGTATCAAACTTCTCCATTTGGATCAAACAGAATCCATCCCGTGAAACAGTTGATTTTTCTACCCAGTGTCAAGTCTATATCTTTCTGTTTTTGTTTAAATAATAAGTTATATATAGGGGCAAGTACTTAAACGAGGTACCTAATCATCGAAATTAAACAATCTATAAACACTTTTATATAACAATGGTATGTTTTAATTAATTTATGCGGTTTTTGTGAGAGTTGAAAACAAAGATAATTGAAGAAACATCGTTTTTTTCAAAGGAGGAGTATGGCTTAGATGCAATTAGATTAAAGTAATTTAAATGTAAGAGAAACATTTTTAATCCTTCACACATTAACTATGTATTTGACATTTGTTTGTATACTTATTTAATTATCTATATTTGTGTTTATATAATCATTACATATAAAACCAATGCTATTAGCATAGCTTTCACGTAGTCTTTTATATACACTTCTTTGAACTATAATGACTAAAACCTGTGAAAATAGATACGTTTCGTGCTATTCAACTCGGATTTCCCCAAAAAACATTCAAGTCCAACTAACAAATAGTTACTTTCTTTTTTGTACGATAATGTTTTATATATTCTTTTTCAATGATTCCAACTTAAACGTACGTTTCAAGTTGTCTCTGGATGTAGTACGCGGAATTCAGGTAATTATAAAAATATTATAATTGACCCAAAACTCACTCTACTCTGATCTACTGCAAATATTAGATATAAATCTTATATACAAACTTGGACATTAGTAGAAAAAAGACCCCCCCCAACCCCCTTGAGAATAGTCAAGAAACAAACGTCGAAAGGACTTGTTGTAAGAGTTATTCAAAATTCTGAAACATCGTCGAGATGCTACACAATATTTAATACAGTGTTGAATGATGCAAGCGGCAAAACACAAACCAGCTTGAGTTTCTTGTAGTGTGAATTAGCAATCTTATTGTAGTTTGTGAACACAGCTTCTACCCAGAAAAGCTTGTTCTTAAAAGTTGTACGCGGTACGGAGCTTACTCTATTGATGCATGCGTGCTCTGTAAATAGCGGATCAACTAAACCTTCATGCTGGTCTGGTTAGGGTAAAGGTCTGTAGCGGCCTTCAGCAAACAATGGGGTAATTCAGGGAATGCTATCAAAGTATTTATTCCCCTAAAATCCTTACTGAGTCAATCAGCGGTGAAATGTTAAGATTACAGCTTGCCTGGTTGTGATATTTAACCACATTGTCAACTCTTAATGCTTTCACGCTGTTCATATCCTTAATGGTATAGAAACTTCAAGTTTACACTCAACGCCATAGTCTAATCAGATACAAACCGCCGAGAAGCACAATTTTTGTGTAACTATTTTACAATCTGTTAAATTTTACACGCCACTAAATCCGTCATTTGAGGACTATACTTTGGCGTGATAAGTCCACTTAGATAATCAAATAGGTTTTAACAATTCAACAAGAAGTTCCGAACAAAGCTGCTTTTAATCAGGTAAGCTCCGTGCGTTAACAGTTAAATTAATATTTCAGTTAATTTTGAAAGGTTGTGAAACTGGTTCATAACCACATTACAGAATTTTCTGATTATTTTATTGAAACGTTAGCAATCGAGCCACGAAAACCAGATCTGGAGAGCAGTTTTATTAAATTATGTTTCGTAATAAACCAAAAACCATCTTAACCCTTAAATTACCGACTGATTAATACTCGTTCTTTACCGATAGGTTCCACATATTCCACCATATTGAGTGATTTAACTTTTGGCAGTGACATTTCATTGTATATCTATATAACTGTAATTATTACTTTTCCCTATGTAAAATACGCATGGGACCCCAGCAGAAAATAGTGAAATTAACTGTAATATTGGTGGTATTTTTGTTTCTAGTTTTTGTGTGACCCGTATAATATTGGGTGGCCTTTTAACCAACAAAGTTACAGATCCACAAGAAATTTTGAGCATAAACAGTTTTTCAAAATCTTTAAAAAGGTCCTTATCAATAATTCTATGGTTAAACAAAGTAAAGAAAAAATAATAATTTATATTTCGTATATACATATATATATATGTGTGTGTGTGTGTTAAAAATTTATATTATTTTCTCACCAGAGGTGAAATTGAAAAGAGAATCTGTGACGTAGAGGCCCTTATACATTACTTGATTGGTCATCAACAGTTTCGCCTATTCAAGGCTCATCAGCACAGCTTGGGTCAGCAGACCAAAGAAATATCATTAAGCCTCTTATCATGGTGAAGTGTATATAATATGTATGATGTTTTGAGTCGAAACACCATAGATAATTTATATTTCGGTTTATAAATACTGTTAAACAGAAACCTACAAGTTAACAACAATAAACCAAGAAAAATATAAAAAGATTGAGTTCATCAAAGATGTAGAATAGCAGCCTAAAAGTAATAAACTAGCCTGATAAAACATCGTGAAAACGTTTTACTTGTAGCAGTTATTATTACGCAAACCGTTCTGTATTGTGTAACTAATTGTATTGAAGTAAAAAAAAAAGGGCGAGGCGGATATCGTTTTTATTTTTTCAGCCAGACAGATTAAATTTTGTTAAATTGAATCAACGTTTAAGATCCGCGAACCAAAATGTT